GTGCAGTTGTTACAATTTACACGCTGTCACTCAAATGCTTCTAGTTAATTAAATAAAAGATATAGAGCTAAATCAATTATGGCCTTTTAAAACTAGATAATTTATCTTTGATTTAATCGTATGACCAAACAAATTGGATTTAAACTCTAATCACAGTAACTGTTTTTACCAAAATTGTAAAATCTGCACCTAGTCTCCCACTACCTATAAATAAAAATAAATAATGATAAAATAAAAAATAAATACTTATTAATAATTATATTTTTATAAGAATTGAAACATTAATTAAAACTACGAGCAAATATTACATTTAATTATATTTTTTCCTTTCTTATATAAAATTTATTGTAAAATAACAAAGACTTTCTCTACTCGATTTGTAAAAGAAACTTGAATTTTTTTCAAAAAGGGAGAAAATATATTTATTTTAGTAACGAGAATAAATACCTTGAAGATAAAATATCGAAAAAATAATACCAGTGGCCAATATTTAGTCGAAAATTAACTTGATTATATTTAAACAAAAGATAACTGTGTAAAGACGTGAGTCAATTTCGAAGATAAAAGAAAAATTTGATATTTTTTTTAAACATCATTAATTGATTTATTTTATAATAATAAGTTAAACAGTAAAACAATCTCCAACACCTAATTATTAATCGTTTACTTTTAATCAAATTGTCTTTTATTTGTTTCTTTAAATTTTTTATTCGCTTCTTTGTTCCTTTTTATTTTCTATATTCGTTTTTTTAAAATTCTTTTTATTTTCCGTTTCTATTTACTTTTTGTATCTATTTTATTTTTATTTTTTTATTATCTCTGCACTTCTAATTTTCTTTGTTTGCTTTTAATATTTTTTATTTATTTCTACATATTTTCTATTTCTTTGTTATAAATTCTTTCTTCTTTCTATTCGCTTTTATTTTTTTAATTCCTTTTTTTTATTTTTTCCATTGTTGTTCCCTATTTTTTAATCTTTTCATTATTATGTTCTTTAATTTCCTATTTGAGGTTTTATCTATTTTTTATTTTATTAATTTTTTTTTTTTGCTTTTTTATTTTTTTTCTTACTTTTTTTATTCTTTTTCATTCTTTTTATTTAATTTTTTTAATAGTCATTTAAAATTGTATATTTAAAATAAAGGAATAATGTTCTTTTTTTAAAATTAAATTACTATTAAAAAAAATACTTTCGATCATTTTTAAACGAAACGCGACACATAAAATCACGACAAAAATATGTGAAACTATAATATATAAGTCACCGGAATGTAAGAGCAACTCGAATACATTTTTTTCTGTTTCTAAGTAGGTAAGTGTCATAGGTGCTGTTTAATTGCAGTTTTCGAGAATTACTCGTGATATGAAAGTATTCGTTTGTATGGTATACCAAACGATATGTATACTTACACGTGATATCGAAAAAATTTATGATTTCTCAATAATTCACTTCTAGTAGAAAAATATATCAGAGCATATAAAAAAGGGCACTCTTTCTGCCTATCTCCCTCTATTTCTTAAAAAAAGGAAATGTGACTTAAAAACTAAAATTAAGAAGAAATAAGAAAACTGAAAAATGAGCTACTGAAATTCCCCTTAAAAAATTAAAATGGTCTCGAGGTCTAACTGCATCAGAATTATTACTTTTATATTAAAAAATGGCACTTTTGGACAAAAATGGCATTTTTTGGAAAAAGAGACTTATTTCCGAAAAGGTAGGCTACTTTAAAACTATTTATTATTTAGCCCAAAAAAATATAATTTTCTCTTGGAAAATTAAAATGGTCTCACGCTCTCTAAATTTGAATCAGCGAAAAGTCGCTGATTCACCAGCCCAGAGTATGCAGCTGATTCAATCAGCGTATATACACTGATGAAACAGCGTATATGCACTGATTTTCCAGCGTATATACGCTGTTTCATCAGCTGCATACTCTGGGCTGGTGAATCAGCGACTTTTCGCTGATTCAAATTTAAAGAGCGAGGACTAAATTCATCATAATTATTAATTTTATTAAAAAATAGCACTTTTGGATAAAAATGACTCGTTTCAGAAAAACTGAGATACCCAGTAAGAAATTGCCAATAGACTACCCGGCAAGAAGGATGGTATGTATTGAAATGGATGCCTTTTTGTCCTTTTTGCCGGGTATAATCGGTCCAATATTGGTTGCCGTGCTGGGCACCGATTGACTCCTAATATTGGACCAATATGGGCTGATGCTTGGGATGTAATGGGTTCGCCAAGCATCGGTTGTTAATATTGGTCCAATATTGGCCGAATATTGGCAACCAAGAGAACAACTTTTTTTAATTAAATAATAATAAATTAATGTTTATAATTATTGTTTAATATATTTATTTAATTCTTTATTTAATTATTTATATAAATAATAAATTATTTATAAATTATAATTATTTTTAAATGCAGCAGCTATTAGGAAATAGCATTCTGCAAAAAATTCTATCATTGAAAAATCAATGATAGGCGAGAGATATCCGCGTCATTAAATAGATTCACAGATATACTCTGGTCTCGCGACGAATCTCTCGATACTTAAACACTGGAGTCGCCGTGTCAGTTGCGAGAACGGTGACAGCGTCCCTCTTGCGGCAGAGATAAGAATTATCACGTAAACTGCGTGTAAAGTAAAAGCTGCTGTCAGTAAAGCGATGCGTGAAAATTGCAATCTTTGCCGCAAGAGGGACGCTTTAACCTTTCTCGCAACTGACACGGCGACTCCAGTGTATATAAGTATCGAGAGATTCGTCGCGAGACCAGAGTATATCTGTGAATCTATTTAATGACGCGGATATCGATCGCCTATCATTGATTTTTCAATGATAGAATTTTTTGCAGAATGCGATTTCCTAATAGTTGCTGCATTTTTAAATAATTATAATTTATAAATAATAAATAATTTATTATTTACATAAATTATAAAAAATAAATAATTAGACAAATAAATATATTAAACAAAAATTATAAACATCAAGTTATTATTATTATTTAATTAAACAAATTTGTTCTCTTGGTTGCCAATATTTGGCCAATATTGGACCAATATTAACAACCGATGCTTGGCGAACCCGTTACATCCCAAGCACCAGCCCATATTGGTCCAATATTAGGAGCCTTTATTGAACCGATGATCGGTCTCTTCTCTCTAAATTTGAATCAGCGAAAAGTCGCTGATTCACCAGCCCAGAGTATGCAGCTGATTCAATCAGCGTATATACACTGATGAAACAGCGTACACGGAGAGAAGGTTGAACCTAAAATCACGGTGTGATCAGAGTCTTAGACGATGAATGGAAACTCATCATGATTTTCTACAAGATGTAGCGCTCTCTGACGGTGACTGTCACCACCACTTGCGATTCGTGAATGGAAAAACTCGGTGAGATCACTCAGATTTACCGTGATCTTTCCCCCTCTTTTAACCTTCTGAATTAGACACTGTCTTTTATGGTTCAAATTTCTCTCCGTGTATATGCACTGATTTTCCAGCGTATATACGCTGTTTCATCAGCTGCATACTCTGGGCTGGTGAATCAGCGACTTTTCGCTGATTCAAATTTAGAGAGTTGGCTCCCACTATTGGACCGATATTGGACCGGTGAGAAATTTCTCACTGGGTACTGGGAAACTGTTTTTTATTCATCTGTGAAATGTGAAATCATATTTCTTTGAGAAAAGGAAATGGTCTCAATCATTAATTTCATTCAAATTATTAATTTATTAAAATTGACACTTTTTAAACAAAAATGACACTTTTTTGAGAAAAGGGCTCATTTCCGAAAAACTGAGCTTCGGGGAAATTGTTTATTATTTATCTCTCATTTACAAAATAATTTTCCCTTGAAAAATTAAATTGGTCTCGACACTTAATTTTATCCTAATTATTAATTTTATTAAAATTGGCACTTTTTCGAAAAAATGTCATTTTTTTAATTAGGGTTTATTTTTGAAAAGCTGGGCTGCGAGAAAATTGTATCATTTCTGAAATATAAAATTATTTTTCCTTGAAAAAAGAAAATGGTCTCGAGGCCTAATTTCACCCTAATTATTATTTTTGTTAAAAAATGGCATTTTTTGGACAAAAATGACACTTTTTGGAGAAAAGGTCTAACTTCAGAAAAACTGAACAACGGGGAAATTGTTTATTATTTATCTTTGATTTACAAAATAATTTTCCTTTGAAAAATTAAAATTGTCTCGAGGTCTAATTCCATCCCAAAAATTAGTTTTATTAAAAAATGGCACTTTTTGAACAAAAATTACATTTTTTTGAGTTTGGGACAAAAATGAAATTTTTTTAAAAAAAGGGATTATTTCTCAAAAAGCCAGGCGACGAAAAATTGTTTATTATTCATCCCTAAAGTATAAGATACTTCTCCTTTGGAAAATTAAAATGGTCTTGAAATTTAATTTATTTGTTAATATATATTTGTTTAAAATTGTTGAACAATAAAAATATTATTTAAAAATTAATTGTTATTGTTATTATTATTTTTTCTCATTCTTTTCTTTTCACATTCCCTTTAAAATTTGATTGTAACCAAATTTTCCACATAAAATATATTTGTTCTGAAAAAATAATTGTCTTTTTGCAAATATTGCACTTTTTGAAGAGGTCGCAACCTAGATTCCTTATAATTTTACACAACATTTATTAACAAGATTCGAATTACACAATAAGAGAAAAAATTATATATATATACAAATTTTTACCACCAGTAATACTTTAATAAACTTTTTAAAAGTATTGTTGAAGAAAGTCAGTACAAAAAAGATCGTCAATCGTTATACATGTTCTAAATATTAACTTATTAAAATTAAAGTGAAACTATTCTATTTAATTACTAGTTAATAATTTTACTAGTAAAATTACTTTCATTTTTCTCGATTAAACGAAAAAATAAATTAAACAATTTCGAATATCATTAATTTTTTTGATTCTTAATTAAAAAAAATGGGAAGTATAAATATTTTTATTTTTTCGTTAATTATTTGTTATGTATTGACGGAAAAAGTGATTTTAAATTTGAATACAAAACAACCAATTTTTGTAAGTAGTGAAAAATTTCTCAGTTTTACGTTGGATCCAAAATGGATTTTTTCTGGTGATTTGACAGACAATTTTTTAAGGTGAGTCCTAAGGTAGAAAAATCTATTTACCTGTGACTATGAATGTTAAAATTTTATATTTAATTAATAAACTAATTAATACAATAATTTTCCAATTTAATTACATTTTAGTGAAATAAACAATTTTTTTAGTAAAACTCGTATTAAATACTTTTTAAATTTAATTACTTTTTAATAACGTAGAGTGTTTTCAGGGCCTTAATTTTTGTCAAATAAAATTGTTTATATTGTGGCCTTGGGTCCAAAATATTTTAAAAAGTTGTTAAAAATCAGCAATTATTTTGACAGGTCTCGACTTTGAGGTTATGTTGGCCTTAAAAAAAACTTTTCTAATTTAAATTTTTAAAATTTTTTTATAAATTTGTATCATTGAACAATGTGGTAAGTCTAATCCACACACAATGTTGCTCTTGAATTCGTATTTTCTATTTACACAACTTTTTTATATTTTTTCTGTAGTCCTGATGAGCTGTGTTCACAGTGAAAATGCATTCGATGAAATAAAGTAATAATTGCTGATTTTTAACAACTTTTTTAAATATTTTTGACCCAAGGCCACAATATAAACAATTTTATTACTTTTTAATTAAATAAATTTTAAATTCAATAATTTTTGGATCAAAAAATTTGAGTTTAATAATTTTTTTGGTAAACGATAATTTTTCCATTAATTTTTTGATCCAATAATGATTAGTTTCTTTAATTAAATAACTCTTTATTTTAATTATTACATGATCGACTAATTTTTAAAAGTTATTGTTTTTTAATCAGATATAATTAAACTGTTATTTTAATTATTTATTTAATTAACTAATTAGTCCGTTAATTAAATACTCAGTTAATTAACGCATTAATTAGTTAATTTATTAGTCAGTTAATTAATACATTAGTTAGTTAATTAATTATCCAGTTAATTAGTAAATTAGTTAATTAATTAGTTAATTAATTAATTAGTTTATTAATTATTTCATTAATTAGTTAGTTAATTAAATAGTAAATTATTGTTTAATCAGATAACATTTTTTAATTTATTTCCTTTATCAATTAATTAGTTCAAATTTGGAAAGAAGTATTAACATAGGAAAAGCATTTTCACCTGCTTATGTTCGTTTTGCTGGACCAATAAGTAATTCTTTTACTTTTGAAAAAGAAAAATTTCTCCTTAACAATGAAACTAATTCCGATTATGACCTTAATGGTGAGTATTATACTAAATTGACAATTTATTGAAACAAAGAATTAATAAAAAATTACCTGACATTAAAATATTTTAGTTAAAATTTTGTTAAATTATTTTATCCATCAGAAAATTTTGAGTTTTTAAAATTGTTTTTTCTTATTGTTAATTATAATAATCGAATTAAATATTTCCATATATACACAGAAAAAATTTTGAATGCAATTAATCGGTGGGCAGAAAAATCGGGTGTAAATTTAATCACCTGCATTGGACAATCAAATGAAAATATTGATAATGCATTAAAAACAAGGAATTTAGTTGCACTCAGTAATCAGATGGGTTACAATACAAGTTGGCAGCTTGGATATGGTAAAAAAATATTTTTCTAAAAATGCTTTTTTCATAAGTAGAAAAAAAATATTTTTCTTTTTTAAACATTTTAGAAACTTTTATAATACTACCTTTAGTTATTGATCTCCTTCCCATCATCTCCAAAAGCATTAATCACTTTTCCTTCTTCACTCTTTTCCTGTAAAAAAAATTATCATAAATAATAAGTTAATCAAAAACAATCAAAAATTATTATATAAATAACTAATTACAATAGATAAATAAATTGATAATACTAAGATATTAAATAAATTTATTATATACAATAAATAAACAATATTAAATTAACTACTATTAGTAGTTATATCATTATTATAAAAAAATACAGTTGCTTTAAATTTTTGCAATCCAAATAAATTAATTTAATAAATATAAATAAAAAATAAATTAAATGAATTATTTAAAAAATTGTATTAATTAAAAAATATTAACGTTTAAAAATTGAATACAGAATGTCAATCGAGATGTAATATGCGTGCAGAAAAATTGGGACAAAAAATTAAATATTTACGAAAATTGCTCAATGCATTTCCAAGATATTCAAGTAGTCTCATTGTTGGACCTGATGTGATTGCATTCAAAACTAATGAAGAAAAACAATATTTACTCGATTATTTCAATTCCATTGGATCTGCACTTTCCGCAATAACTTGGCATCCGTAAGTGAAAATTTTTATTTTCAAATAATTTTAATGTTTCACATTAGCAAAATTTATAAAATTAATTTTTTTTGATTAAATTCTAGTAATTAATTTATCTTCTTTAAATTATATTTCAGAAATTTCGATCAAGTTTCTTTCAATAATAACAAAGTGATAATTCGTGATGAAAATCTTTTCACTGAAAAGGCGAATCTTGAAAAAGCAGCTGGAGAAATAATATTTAAAAAACCCTTATGGATAGGTGATATTTCATTGAAAATTTATTTAAATAAACAAATAATATTATTAATATTAATAAATATTACCTTTTAATAATTAATAACCAGTAAAAAATTTATAAAATCAATTATTTATTAACAAAAACAATAGAAATATTAACTTTAGAGTTATTACATGATTTTACAAATTTGAATTTCCCACTAAGTGGCGCAATAGATCATGCGTAGTGCTGTGGCGTGAAATTCAAATTTAAATAAATTTTTTCTAGAAAAATAGACAATAATTCTTGTAGTTTTAGTACAAAAAAAAATTGCACAAACTACAAATACTTAAAAAAGTCAAAAAAAAAATTGTAAAAAAGCAAAATCAAATCAAATTTATATGAAAATAAAAAATTCCAGCCGAATCAAAAGAAGAGAAGTGCAAAAAACAATTTATCGGTGCACTCGTGTGGACTAGAAGACTTGGAAATTCTGCAAAAATTGGCGCTCAAGTTGTTATGAGACAGCCCGAAAATTCGAATCTATTCAAACCTACTCCGGTAATTTATTGTATAACAATAAGAAAAGCAATAAAAATAACTATAATAAAAACTATAAAACTCACTGTAACAAAAACAATAAAACTAACACTAACAATAACAATAAAAATAACAATAACAAAAACCATAAAAATAACAGTAACAAAAACAATAAAACGAACAATAACCATAAAAATAACAGTAACAATGAAAATAACAAAAATAGTAATAATAAAAATAATTATATTAATGATAAAAATTTGTATTATTATAATTATCATTATTTATTATTTTTATTGTTATCATTACGTATTAAATTTTAACAGGACTTCTGGGTCTCGTTATTGCACAAGAATTTGGTTGGTTCCGAAGTTTTAGATATAAATGTTGAATTTGGAAACGAGACTCACATTCATTTCTTCTGCCAATGCACAAAACCTTCGTTAAAATACAAAAAAGGATCTCTTACAATTTTTGGTATTAATTTAACACCAAATCCAATAATAGCAAAATTAAAAGATTTCAAAATCAAGGAAGTGGACGAATATATTCTCTTACCAGGATTTGACAATTCAAATCGAATGTTCGCTGAGTACGTTTCCTAATATATACTATTATTTTTGTCTTCTTTAACTTCATTTCAATTTTAATTAAAAAAACACAAAAATTAAATGTAAAAGAATGTAAAAATAAGTAAAAATTAAATATTATAATAAAAATAACAAAAACTTACAGGTCCACACTTTTGAATAATAAACTTCTGACATTAAACAACGGACATGAAATACCACATTTTGCACCAATTGTCAAAAAAGATGATAAAAATGTACCTATTATTCTTCCATCTGGAGGAATTGGTTTTTGGGTGGTTCCAAATTTAAAGGTATTGTTGAAAATTTATTTTTTGTTTTTGAAATCGAAATTTGAAAAAACTGCTGTTTTTTAAACAGAAATGTACAAAGAAAATTGCTCTTTTTAAACAAAAATTTGAAAAAAATACAAATTTTGAACAGAGTTTAAAAGCTGTTGTTATTAAGTTATTTTTAAACAAAAAGTAAAACAAGCATTAGTGTCATTTTTAAGAAAAGGGTGTAAACAGCAGAGAAAAATAATCGAAGAACATAAAAATATAACTAATTTTTTTCCAACAGTTCAAGGTTTGTGGATTTCATGAGGAAACTATCAAAAACCGTTCACGAAGAGGCACGAAAATAGAGAATTCATCAGAAAATATCACACCAACATCACGTAAACGTGTACGAGATATTTTCCGAACACTAGAAAGCAACACGAACACTATTCAAAATCAAAATCCATCACCCCCAACATTAAAATTGACACCAATAATTATTCCCACTGTACTTTCTCCAAATGATCAACTAAAGCAAAAATTAGCCATAGCAAGAATTAAATTACGTACGATTTTTCAAGATCTACAAAATTCCATCAAACACCATCGACCACTTGCTGTAAAACGCGAAACAGTTATTAACGGAGAAACAACCCCATTGACAAAATTCAAACAGATCCAACAGAATCAACAAGTTCGAAATGCGGAAATCGTTCGCAAAATTCGCGAGAGCATTAAACAATTAGAAATTTCGGATACACTGAAAAATACACTTGGCGAGAGAAAATTGAAACAATTCATTGATAAGTCAGATGAGGAATTGGAGAAATTGAGAAGTAATTTGCGAAAACGACAGGAGAAATTTGTGGAAAATTATAGAACGAGGTCTGGGGATTTTTCCCAAAAGTTATTGAATGATGATTTTAAGAGTAGGGTTTCGAAGATTGTGGGAGTTTTGCAGGAGAAGGAGAGGGGTAATTCTCACAAAAAGCGCGAGACTGAAGAAGATGCTGGAGGAGAAGAGGTTGAAAAAGATGACGCTGAACGAGAAGATGCTGCAAAATATGATGATGAACAAGCAAATTCTAAACAATATGGAACTAAAGGAAAAGATGCTGAACAAGAAGATGTTGTACAAAAAGATGCTAATCAAGAAGATGCTGCACACAAGTATGCTAAACAATATGGTACTAAACAAAAATATGCTGAACAAGATGATGCTGCTGCACAAAAGGATGCTAAACAATATGGTACTAAACAAAAAAATGCTGAACGATATGTTACTAAACAAATAGATGTTGAACAAGATGATACTGAACCAGAAGATGCTAAACGAGAAGGTACCAAACAAAGAAAAGTAAAGCGACATAGTGCTGAACAAGAAGATGTAAAACAAGGTGACACTGAACAAGGTGATGTTGAACAAAAAAATATTAAAGAAGATGCTTTTGAACAAGATGATTCTACACAAAAAAATGCTGAACCAAAAGAAGTTAAAGAAGATTATACTAATCAAAAAGATGCTGGAAATGATGATGCTGAACCAAAAGATGCTAAACAAGATGGTGTAAAACAGAAAGATGATATACAAGAAGATGCTAACCAAAAGGATGCTGATCAACAAGATGCTACACGGAAAGATGCTAGACAAGAAGATGCTACACAAAAAGATGCTAAAGAAGAAGATGCTAAAATAACTAAAATCAAACGAAATAGTCAACAAGATAAGTCTAAGCACTATAAACCGAAAATAGATAAATTTCAACAAAATTTACCCGAACAAGAAGGACCTCATCAAAGTGGACCCGAAGAAGACGGACCAGAACAAAGCGAAGTTAAACAAAACGAACCTGAACAAAATGCTCCAGAACAAGCTAAACTAACCGAAGATGACGAATTACTCTCCACTTTCACATCATTCTTCAAAAATTTCTTGCATCCAACAGAAGGACAAACCATCAATAATCCCCCTGAACAAACAGACCCTGAGGATACAACATCAAATGACGAATATTCATCCGAAGAAGACGAAAACTGGAACCACAGTTTCGTTGCTGCTTCTACTACTACTGCTGATGCTACTGATGATAATAAAAATTATGATGATATTAATAATAAAAATAATAACAATTATGATAATATTGATAATAATAATGGTGATGCTGATGATTATAATGACGATACAACACAAAAATACTTCCGCAAAAGAAGAGACACCGAAAGCGACGAAACTGATTACAAATCCTCCAAAAGTCACAAAAAAGTAAAAGAAAATTACAGTGACAATGAATCCAATTACTACAATGCTGAAAATGATAATGATGATGATATGAAATATTTCATTACCAAGAGACGAAAAAATAAAAATGACGATGATGATCTAGACGAGACGTACTCTCCGAATTACAACCAATTCACCAATTTTCGACAGCAGTGGCCAAATTATTGGAACTATCGTCCATTAATTTATTACGATTATTATGCTCCGTACGGAAATTATCATCATTACTATCCAACTGGTATTCCAAGTTACAGTGCTCATTTTGACTATGGAAATTCTGTTCCCTACCATTATTATCAACAACCATTTGTACCATTACTTCGACGACGTCGTCGTCAGATTGATGATATTGATATTAAAAACACTGACAAAGGTCCAATTGACAACTCAAAACTGATTAATAGTAGAGTTTTTAGTAAACAGCATGAGGTTAATAATAACGAGCAGCAGTTTTATGAACATCAGAAGTTTAAAAAGCAGCAAGAGCTTAAAGAACAGCAAGAAATTAATAAACAGCAAGAGATTAAAAACCAGCAAGAGGTAAATAATCAGAAAGATGTTAAAAGACAGAAAGATGAGGTTAACAATCAGAAAGAGATTGAAAATCAGCAAAATGAGGTTAACAATCAGAAAGAGATTGCCAATCAGCAAGATATTAATAATCAGAAAGAGGTTAAAAAACAGCAAGAGGTTTATAATCAGCAACAGTTTAGGGGAGTGTGGGGGAATTGGAGCCCCTTAAGGAAAATTATTAAAAAAACCAACTTATCTTTATAATAATACATTGTTTTCGTTATTTTCTACTCATTTCGTTATTTATCTTTAATTATGTTTAATTAGAAACTTAAAAAGAGAAAGCAAATTGGAAAAAAAAATTTTCAAAAAAAAAATACATTTTTTGCCATCACCCAATTTGTCGGGTATTGGGAGCTTTCACTTGAAATTTAAAATTTTTTTATTTTTTAGGAATATTTTTTGTTTTCTAATAGAAAAAAGTGTTAATACTTACAATGAAGCCAAAACTTTAGACTTAGAATAAATTTTTTCCTAAATTATAATTTAATACAAAATTTTTGAAAAAAAATTAAATTTTTCATTTTTTCCATCAAAAATTATTTCTTAATTAAAAGTTTGTTCATAAGGTGATACCTTTTACAATTTTCAAAGAAATAACGAAAGCCGTAACATAGTAAAGAAAATTCTTTTGGCTGACACTAATTCTCCCATTACCCCACAGAATTTTTACAGGACAAAATTTGAATAAAAAAATAAAAACAAACAAATTTTATTATTATCTCGATTTTTATACAAGTATACATATCCACACATATTCACCTATAATATAATGAAAAAACAGAACTAAATAATACGATTTTAACTACTTATGGTGATATTTAGAAATATTTTGCATTTTACAACGAAAACTCAAAAAATACATTTTCCCTTGTCTTTACTAAAAATTTGTCAAGAATGTGATCGTTTGTTTTGGAATGATATAAACAAAGGTTGTAGAATATTTTCTAGACATTACAGCGAATTTGAAGGCTTTTAAGTATGTGAAATTTAAAAGCTCCCATTACCCGCAAGCTCCCAATACCCCACGCTCCCCTACTAACCAGAATCAGTTTACTGAACAGAAACAATTTCCAAATCCAAACCAAATACCCGATCATACTACACTGATCACAACAATAATAATTAATTCCGACAATGGAGAAAATTCTGAACTTGAAATTCAAGAAGACACCAGTGATGAAGAAATGAAAAATTCATCAACAGTGAATGAGGAAATCCTCTCTAATGACAATGACGGCATTGTGCAACAAAATTTGAAATCATTGATGAGTATTGAGAAAATTTATGATAAATTTGTACCATTAACGGAACACAGAGTGCACACCCTAGTAGAAATTTGTCATAGTATCTTTAAGGGCACTGGACAGTTCCACTGGAAAATTTCGAGGCACTTTACAGTTAAACTGGCTAAAAACTATAAAGTGATGTCACGCTAATTTCTTCAAGTTATTGTCCAGTCAAATTTTACAGTTTCTGATCATCAGTCCTGTAGAAAAACTATACAAAATAATTCACTTGGAAATGTCAAAACTTTCTTTATATTGACGTTACGTATTAAACACGTACAAATTTGAAAATATAACGTTAAATTTTTTTGTCAACAAATTAAATAAATTAAAATTTTACGAAACTATATTTTTACTGTTGGTGTATCTATTGTTCCGTATAATAAATGATTTATAATAAATTATCTGTAAAATTATTTTTAAATAACTACATAATTAAAAAAAAATATAAAAATTACTGATTCTTGAACACATGTCATTTTTTTACATTAAACAACATTCACTTTTTCCTTTAATTAAGCACAACACTGAAATAAATATTATTATTTTATCACACTACAAACTTATAAGTAAACCCTAATATGAAGAATTAATTCAGTTCAAACGAAAAATATCTAGCGGTTTCGGGGAGCGAACTCGGGTCACACTGGGACGAAATACCTAAACGCACGCTTTACGCATCACGGCCGTTCTAGTCGATGGACGATTCCGGAAAAATAAGAACCATACTCTACCGGCAGGTAAAGCAGTTCCCTTTTTCATCTTTTCTAGCTCAACTGGCGAATTACTGGACAGCTACTGCATAACACTCTAAAGTTGAACTTATTGATTATTACTGTATAGAAGTTCTGTCTGTCCAGTTATTCTCATGGTACTGTCTAGGCGTTCCGTGAAATTATGTTTCAAAGTTTGTCGTGGCGTTAGCGCTACCGTCAGTCCAGCAACTGAACAGTGTTGTGTAGACATTTTCCATAAATACATCAGAGTATACACTGAAAGAAATAATTCGCGGGTGTAACTAGAATTATGTCTATTTTTTCCGTAAGGAATTAGTAATAAATTGAGGACCCTAAAGTTTTGAACGTTCATTTGAACGAAATTTTTTTTTCTTCATTTAACAAATTTTTCTCAATAATCCTGTTTAGAATAGTAAATAAAACAAATATCAATCAAAAAATTCCAAAAATATTAATAATAAGGGTGAAAAACCACCCTTAATCAAATAACCCATATATGCATAATAATAAATTGCACAATATCACTACTATGCGTTCGGATATTTTTCTAACAACAATTCCAAAAATTCTCTAAAAATATACCAATCAATTTCCAAGAAGTTAGAATGCTCGCTCGGACCCCCAAAACCCACCCCTAATTTAACATACTTAAAAATAATATATAAAAGCCCAAAAGCGAGAGAATGCGTTCGTCTTTCTTTCTGAAAATAATTTTAAAAATTCCCTAAAAATATACCAAGCAATTTCCAAAAGGTTAGAATGCTCGCTCGGACCCCCAAAACCCACCCCTAATTTAAAATACTTAAAAAAAATACATAAAAGTGCAAAAGCGAGAAAATGCGTTCGTCTCTCTTTCTGAAAATAATTCTAAAAATTCCCTAAAAATATACCAAGCAATTTCCAAAAGGTTAGAATGCTCGCTCGAACCCCCAAAACCCACCCCTAATTTAAAATACTTAAAAAAAATACATAAAAGTGCAAAAGCGAGAGAATGCGTTCGTCTTTCTTTCTGAAAATATTTTTTAAAATTCCCTAAAAAAATACCAAGCAATTTCCAAAAGGTAAGAATGCTCGCTCGAACCCCCAAAACCCACCCCTAATTTAAAATACTTAAAAAAATACATAAAAGTGCAAAAGCGAGAGAATGCGTTCGTCTTTCTTTATGAAAATATTTTTAAAAATTCCCTAAAAATATACCAAGCAATTTCCAAAAGGTTAGAATGCTCGCTCGAACCCCCAAAAATCACCCCTAATTTAAAACAATTAAAAATAATATATAAAAGTCCAAAATCGAGAGAATGCGTTCGTCTTTCTTTCTGAAAATATTTTTTTAAATTCCCTAAAAATATACCAAGCAATTTCCAAAAGGTTAGAATGCTCGCTCGGACCCCCAAAACCCACCCCTAATTTAAAACAATTAAAAATAATATATAAAAGTCCAAAATCGAGAGAATGCGTTCGTCTTTCTTTCTGAAAATATTTTTTAAAATTCCCTAAAAATATACCAAGCAATTTCCAAAAGGTTAGCATGCTCGCTCGGACCCCCAAAACCCACCCCTAATTTAAAATACTTAGAAATAAAATATAAAAGTCCAAAATCGAGAGAATGCGTTCGTCTTTCTTTCTGAAAATATTTTTTAAAATTCCCTAAAAATATACCAAGCAATTTCCAAAAGGTTAGAATGCTCGCTCGAACCCCCAAAACTCACCCCTAATTTAAAATACTTAAAAATAATATATAAAAGTCCAAAAGCGAGAGAATGCGTTCGGCTTTTGATCTCAAAATATTTTTAAAAATTCCCTAAAAATGTACCAAGCAATTTCCAAAAGGTTAGAATGCTCGCTCGAACCCCCAAAACTCACCCCTAATTAAAAACAATTAAAAATAATATATAAAAGTCCAAAATCGAGAGAATGCGTTCGTCTTTCTTTCTGAAAATATTTTTTAAAATTCCCTAAAAATATACCAAGCAATTTCCAAAAGGTTAGAATGCTCGCTCGGACCCCCAAAACCCACCCCTAATTTAAAACAATTAAAAATAATATATAAAAGTCCAAAATCGAGCGAATGCGTTCGTCTTTCTTTCTGAAAATAATTTTAAAAATTCCCTAAAAATATACCAAGCAATTTCCAAAAGGTAAGAATGCTCGCTCGGACCCCCAAAACCCACCCCTAATTTAACATACTTAAAAATAATATATAAAAGCCCAAAAGCGAGAGAATGCGTTCGTCTTTCTTTCTGAAAATAATTTTAAAAATTCCCTAAAAATATACCAAGCAATTTCCAAAAGGTAAGAATGCTCGCTCGGACCCCCAAAACCCACCCCTAATTTAACATACTTAAAAATAATATATAAAAGCCCAAAAGCGAGAGAATGCGTTCGTCTCTCTTTCTGAAAATAATTCTAAAAATTCCCTAAAAATATACCAAGCAATTTCCAAAAGGTAAGAATGCTCGCTCGAACCCCCAAAACCCACCCCTAATTTAAAATACTTAAAAAAATACATAAAAGTGCAAAAGCGAGAGAATGCGTTCGTCTTTCTTTATGAAAATATTTTTAAAAATTCCCTAAAAATATACCAAGCAATTTCCAAAAGGTTAGAATGCTCGCTCGAACCCCCAAAAATCACCCCTAATTTAAAACAATTAAAAATAATATATAAAAGTCCAAAATCGAGAGAATGCGTTCGTCTTTCTTTCTGAAAATATTTTTTTAAATTCCCTAAAAATATACCAAGCAATTTCCAAAAGGTTAGAATGCTCGCTCGGACCCCCAAAACCCACCCCTAATTTAAAACAATTAAAAATAATATATAAAAGTCCAAAATCGAGAGAATGCGTTCGTCTTTCTTTCTGAAAATAATTTTAAAAATTCCCTAAAAATATACCAAGCAATTTCCAAAAGGTAAGAATGCTCGCTCGGACCCCCAAAACCCACCCCTAATTTAACATACTTAAAAATAATATATAAAAGCCCAAAAGCGAGAGAATGCGTTCGTCTTTCTTTCTGAAAATAATTTTAAAAATTCCCTAAAAATATACCAAGCAATTTCCAAAAGGTAAGAATGCTCGCTCGGACCCCCAAAACCCACCCCTAATTTAACATACTTAAAAATAATATATAAAAGCCCAAAAGCGAGAGAATGCGTTCGGCTTTTGATCTCAAAATATTTTTAAAAATTCCCTAAAAATGTACCAAGCAATTTCCAAAAGGTTAGAATGCTCGCTCGAACCCCCAAAACTCACCCCTAATTAAAAACAATTAAAAATAATATATAAAAGTCCAAAATCGAGAGAATGCGTTCGTCTTCCTTTCTGAAAATAATTTTAAAAATTCCCTAAAAATATACCAAGCAATTTCCAAAAGGTAAGAATGCTCGCTCAAACCCCCAAAACCCACCCCTAATTTAAAA